AAAAAAGAGAAAAAAGCAAGTCGGTTTTAAAACAAAGACTGGGAAAATTATGACTTATGATCAAATTTATCAATTAATAATCAATAACTAATAAAAATACGAAAATTTTCGTTAAACGTTACTTTTACATTGTAAAAATTCAATACACTTACATTTGAATTTTATTTTATTTTAAAAAGTCTTTACTTTTCGTAGACACGAAAATTATATTTCATTTCATACCGCACAGTTCTAAAAGTCGAATATAATCATCAAATCAACTAAGAAACCGAAAAGTCCCAACAGACAACCAATCTAAAACAGACTATAGGTTTTCTGTGATTTTAATATCTTCTCGTACGATCACATTTTTTCATGAAAATCGTTGCCTCAGATTTTGACTTTCAGTGATAAGAGATCAATTGTATCCAAGTGAGTGATAACGTCCATAAAAGTACAAAAAAATATACAATTACTTCATAATCATTTTAAGACAAAACTGCGAGAAAGATAACTGAATAACGTCAGCATCTGATGCGGATATTTTCGTAGGAGACGTAATTTGTGAACGCATTTATTTCAACGTACCGAGATCGCGAGCTCTCTACGTGGCTTGAGTTAATGCAAAGTATATAGACCGGATCTTGAAGCAGAAGACACAGATTAATCAAGAGATCGGAACTAAAAATAAGAGAGCACCTATAAAAGACTCCTTATCAGATCCTAGCTTATGGAAAATAAAATAAAAATGGTTTTATAAGTTTCTAAAGCCTCCTCGCAATTTATTCTTCAAAGACGAAAGATACTCTGTTAACTATTATTATAAATTATCTGAGCCTTTAGTATCCGAGGTTTTTGTTTGTTTGTTTGTTTGTGAGTTGTTCGTGTTATTGCTCCTAACGATTCTTTCTATACCGGAGCGCAGTTTTCATTTGCTTTGATCGTATGAAGATCTAAAATACGAATACGAGATTGACTGTTTGTTAATGATGTATTTAGCACAAGTCACACCGACAAAAAACTTATCTACATTCGTTTTCAGACTAACCAGCCGACTTTAATAAATATCCAATTAAGAAAAGTTGAAAAATAAATAAGACAACCATTAGAGGAACAACGCTTTACGATAAGCGACTGAAATGGAAAATTAGATCCTTAAAAGATGGAAATATTTTAGCCAACCATTAAAGAGCGCAAAACAAAGTTGTTGTCTTGTGTGTAGACTCTCGTCTTTCATGCCTGCGGACCCGTTGCCCACTCACAAAACAAATACTTAGAAAATCTGTAGGATAGAAAACAAACTGGTAATGATCAATATTCGTTGAAGAAAGTGATATTCATCCATTAATTGGAAACGGATCGGACAAAAACACGCGAACCAGCGGCAAAACATTATTTGCCGGGATTTTAGGTTGAGCTATAGTTGCTTCATCAACTCTCTTTCCCCATCTCTTTAAAAATTAATATTTATTTTCTCTATTATTTTTCAGTTATAATTTAGCTTTATTTAGTTTCTAGTTTGGGTATTCATTAATAAATTTTTTTATTTCTATTTATTTATTTTTTTTATTTTTTTTCAGCATTGCATTAGTATTTTGCGCCTCAAGACCGTCACTCACTGCATGAGCTATTCCGTTTTTCCCTCCTACTTCAATAATATGTATATTTGGCTAAATTTCTTGTAAAAACGAAGCTTATTTCAACTCACACAGGAGGCGATGTACAAAACACATTTGCTAATAGCGCCAAGAAGACTCCTTGGCCTAAATTTTACCGAAACCCCTTTGTGAACAATACTAAAAACACAGTTAATTGGTATTTGAAAATATACTTTACGAGTTATCCCACTTAGAGCGCCAAAGCTATCCTATTTTTATTTATTTCATATGCGTTTTTTGAAGAGTAGTATTTGCCGGAATTCCTTGGGAATGTTCTAGAAAACATCATGGATTAAAAATAGACGATCCATTTTACAAAGATGATAATGTCCAATGATCAGCCAGCATGAAATAAAACTAAAAATTAAAGCATTTCATAATCTGAATTGACTGCAAGTAATTGAAGGACGAAACTAGGCGAGCTGAATGGGATTATTGGGACTCCAATTACCAACTTCCGCTATGACATCACGATGCGGCATGCTGGCTTTGATTTGAAGCTTCATTGAGTGTTTGATATCATTGTAGCGTACGTGGGTAGAAAAACACTTATTTGTAAGTCATAGCTGTTTTAATATGACAAGTAATTCAAAGAAGAGTGAGTGGAATATGGGATGTTAGAAGCCGATCAATGATTCTAGATGCCGTCCCATCGTCCGAGATAGTGAAGACTTCAATGATGTTGTTTTGAATAGATTGTTTTTTGATGCATAATAGTGATGATGGTGCATGATGAAGACGTATGATGATGATGATGACGATGATGATGATAATGATGACGATGATGATGATGATGATGAT